CTCTCCCACCTTTCTTAAGGAATTCAATACCCTTCTTTTCCACCTCAACTCCTGTCCTTTTAATTATGGGACTTCAACATACTTGTTTGTTTTTTTCAAACACCTTAATCTTCCAATTCTTCAGTTTCCTCAACTCCCACAACCTACTCCTCCCACCTTTGCTAGTAGACATAGTAGGGGTAGTCACACCCCGATCTTATTATTATCCACAAGGGATCCACTTCTAGGAACAAAGCCTCCCAAATTCCTTTATACACCATAATATTATAATCCCATCTCTATATCTTATCATTGTTCTAAACCTAGTCTTCTCCCTCATTTCTATATCTCAGTACTTTCCTAGATCACCACACCTCTGCTTTAATTTCATTTTACTCCATTCCCTATGTTGCTTGGAGAATTAACCAATTTTGATTGACATTGTCCTCTACTCTCAAATTCCCTGCCCCTTTATCCTTGCTCAAGCCTTGCTAAAGCTTAATTTTGAATTACACCCACCATCAATGTCTTTCCTTTGTTTCTACAGATGTATTATGAATGAAGCTGGAGGAAATGATGCAACTAAGACGATTTGGTCTACTATAAATTTATGTTATCTATTCTCAACTAGATCTTCATTATAAAAAAGCAATTTTAAAAAGCCTCCCCAACTGATTCCCTCTATTGCAGTCCCCACAGAAGCTGCTACAAATCTGCTCTCCTCACAATCCTCCCATGCAATGCCTCCACCTATCCTCTAAGCTGAGGACTTCACTAAAAGAATCCATTTGTCTTGTTTCCTCTTTTCCCTACATCTCAAAACCTTTTAACATCAACCTCTATTCTCTCCTCCTTTCTACCTGGGGCCTTCACCTTAATCATCACACTCTGATAAAGAGGTGAACTGTTTCTTTACTAACACCAACCTTGATCTCATCCCATCTTCTCTGGTAGATTGCCTCCCCCAATCACCACTCCTCTTTCCTCCTAACTCCTTCCTGTCTTCAAACTCTGCTGATTCCTTCCTTGCTGTCTACAAACAGGCTCAAGTCTCCCCCATCCTAAAACAAAAAGACACCATTATTTTATCCTATCATTTCCCCAAACTATTGTTTTATGACTTTCCTCCCTTTCACAGCCAAATTCCTAGAAAAAGTCACGTCCGCTTTCTTCTCTCTTCATTTCTCAATCCTCTGACCTCATCACTCAACTCAAATTTCTGTCTCCCAAGTATGAAGTCTTAAAGGTTAAGCCAGATGATCTTTTCTCAATTCGTATCCTCAACATCTAGATTATGAACACTCTCCTCTGGGATACTCTTTGCTTTTTCTTGGTTCTTTTAGCTGTTAAGCTTGCTCCTTCTCTTTTTGCTGATTTATCATCCATATCCTACTTGCTCACTATGGGTATACCCCAAGGCTTTATCTTGGGCCCTATTCTCTTTTCCCCTCTCTACACTCACTTGGTGACTTCATCAACTCTCAAGGTTTTAATTATCAACACTATGCAGATGACTATTAGATCTATATATCCAGTCCTAGTCTCTCTCCTGAGCTTGTCCCACATCTCCAAATGTCTACTACACAGAATTCACCATCTTTTCTCCTAAACCCACTCCTTTAATGGGTTTACTTACTTCTGTCAAGGGCACCTTCATCCTTCCAGTCACCTAAACTCTGAATCTCAACATTATCCTCAACTCCTTGCCCTCCCTCACTCCACCAATCTGATCATAACTGCCCTTTTTACTGATCCTCAAACACAATGCTCCAACAATCTCCATCTCTATGTTAGCGATTCCCCATGCCCCCTTCCCACCCTCCCACCTTCATTTCTTGAAACTCCTTATTTCCCTTAAAACTGAACTCAAGCATCACCTTCCATATATCAAGCCTTTCCTGCTTCTCCCCAGCTGCTGGTTTAATCTCCCCTGACCCCAGTTACCCTATTTGTTTTGTATGAAAAGGTATAGAGACTGGATTCCAGGTGAAGAAATCCTTCTATTAATGAAAGTTGGCAACTTCTCTGCAACTTAGTTTCAGAGAATTGTCCAGAGTAAATCATCCACGGCACCATGTGCTAGAGGTGGGATTTGAATGCAGGTTTTTTTTAGGCTTCTGTTCTGGGTCTCTATCCACTATGCCACATTTCCTCTTAGTTACTTAGTATACTTTTTTTTACCTACTTCTATACATACATATTATGTCCTTTAATAGAATATAAGTTTCTTGAGGGCAGGGACTATCTCATTTTTGTCTCTGTCTTCCCATGATGGGAATACAAACAGTAAGTCTAAATTTCCATTTTACTTTTGCCTCCAATCTTTGGAACTTTGCCCTCACTTCTGAGGTCAGGAAAACTCCATTAAAGTTTGGTTAGTTTTAAGTTAATTGAACTGAGTTAAATTTTATAAGTACTTATAACATGCCTACTAGGTTTCTGAGTATTGTGAGAACAGAAAAACACTGAGCAGTATTGCAATTCAGTTTGCATTTAGGCAAAGCTACTACTAACTAATCCCCTGAAGAAGGAAATGGCAGGGGCAGCTAGGTGGCAGAGTGTCAGGAGGACCTGAGTTCAAATCCAGCCTCAGACACTTGACACTTACTAGCTGTGTGACTCTGGGCAAGTCACTTAACTCCATTGCCTCAACAAAAAAAGAAAAAAAGAAGGAATTGGCAAATGACTCTGGTATCTTTGCCAAGAAAACCCCATAGACAGTATGGTCCATAGGATAATGAACCATAAAAGTGATTTGGGGGAGGGGAGGGAGAAGGGAAGATGGGTCTCCTTAATTCACTCAGTCTGGAAGTACAGTGGCCACTCATGGGCTCAATCCCACTGCTGACTGGTATGGAAACTGTGATTTGCTGTTTCTTATGAATTTATCCCTCTCTCTTTTGGCAGCCTGGTGGCCCCCACTCCTCACTCTTGGGGGATTCACCATATTGGTGCTGGACTAAGTGCAGACTCCTGATTGACTCTAGAACTATTTTAGCTCAGAACTCCCAAGCTCATGTAATCCTCAAGCTTCTGCTTCCCTTAACAGCAAAATGATATACATGTGCCACTGTGTCTGGCAATGAATTTTGGGTTCTTAGGAGCAGATTTCTCAGAGAACAAAATATTTCTAGAGTATGTAGAATTACTTCTCAGTTCTCTAGGTTTTAATGATCACAAGATTAACAAGATAAGCCAAGCAGAGGAATGAACTTGAAAATGCTCTAGTAATTTGAGAAGTCATAAATAGATTGTAAAGTGTACCACTGCATCAATCCTATTGAGATCCATTAAAGAAATGAAGTAATGGGGGTTTACAGGTAAAATGATATTCTCCTGTGTTTCCCAAAAATTCTGTTGGATCCCACCCATCTTTTTTCTTTCCTAATTTTAGCCTTTTTAAAAAAAGCTTAGTTTAATTCTTTGCATCTTTCTACTTATTATCTTCTTAGGGTAAACGGTACAGAGATGAAAATCACATGGTAAAAAAAAATCTGGTCTTGTGAAATGGACAGTTTCAGTAAATTATATGCGGTTTTACATGTAAACAAAAAAATTCTCTCTATAAGTGCTTTAGGATCAGTTAGCTAAGTTATTAAGATGATTTCATGGCATTTAAATGGACTAACCTTATTCAGAAGACATTCCAGTGAGATTTCTTTGTATTTGCAAAAATTCTATTCCAATGTTTCACTGAAGTATATAGGTGATCTCTGATTCTTGAAAGCTAAATTAATGGAGCACAAGTTCTGGTAGTCCCTGATAATCTAGAAAGCGTTTTTGTTTTGTTTTGATTTTTTGCATATGGGCTTAGCAATAAACTATGCAGCTGGTAGCCAATCAACTAAATTTATTAAGACTCAGAAGTTTGGCTGCTAGGTGATGAGTGATTTTGGGCCACAACAACTCATGAAGACCAAACAAAACACAACGAAGAGAACTTCCATATATATGTTTATATCTCGCTATGCACACATACACATCACAATAATGTATGAAAACAACTGTAAAAGACCTTAGAACTCAGACTGAATGCAAAGCCTATTTAGGCTCCAGAAGACAATGTTATACCCTCAGTAGGGAGGAAGTAGACTAGAGGTCTACTACTAATGGAATAATGCAAACATTTATCGTCTATGGTTGGTAGAACTGTTTTATTTTTGTTACAAGGGAGAGTTCTATGATGGTGGTGGAGTTTTTGGGAAATAAGAGTGATATAAAAACAAGTATCAATAAAATATTTTTTAAGAATATGACTAAAAAAAAAAGAATATGACTAAAAATCTAAGTAACATTAACTTCCTTATGGTTGGGATACACGCTTCAGTAAGACAAATTCAAACTATCTCAAAATGAAATGAGATTGGATGTGGACTTGTTTCTAGGTACCTAAGTAGCTAGGTGGTACACTAGATAAGAGTGTTGCACCTGGAGTCAGAAAGACCTGAGTTGAAATCCTACTTCGGATACTAACTAGCTGTATGGCATCAAGCAAGTCACTTAACCTCTGTCTACCTCAGTTTCCTTGTCTGTAAAATGGGTTAATAATAGCATCTACTTCTTAGGGTTGTTGTGAGAATAAAATATTTGTAAAGAACTTTAAAAACCGTAAAGTGCTACCTAAATGCTATTATTATCATACTTCTATCTCTTAAAACCAAAATTCAACCTTAAAGTTCTTTATTAATACTAATCAACTAAAAGTTACAAATATTGTGCAAGTCTCTTCTTTATAATCATCCATCTTCTTGATCTCTTAAAAACGAAGCAATCACTTCCCAATTACACTGAATGCATGTGTCTGGGCACGGTTGCAAATAGTAACAGGCATTTGTTCACTATTTTTAGGCACCTCAGGAGCTCACCCAAGGTTAAAGCATTTTGTTATTCAAAGTGTTATAGGAAAAGTTGACACCAATAAATTTCACACGTTTAATCTCATGAATAAAATATTACAGAATTATAATTCATGTTACTGTTTCTTTTTAAAATAAAAAACAAGCAAACACTTGTGACTCTACCTGTTTTTGGATGATTTCACTTTGATTAGAAGCTTGGAGGGTGTGTTCACGTTTAATTTCTATCTGCTGCTGTTTCTTCTTTTGCTGTTGTTCCCTGAGTTGTTGAACCCTTTGTAATTGTTCTTGTACGCTGGCTGCTTGCACAGTGACCACATTCTGGATCTGGTGAGCCTGTACAGGGCTGGTTTGCTGAATCTGAATAGGTAACTGAAGTTTGATTTGCCCAGGAACAACACCCTGCTGAGCCTGTATCTGAGCCACGACGTGTGACTGAATCTGAGAGAGAACCTGAACTTGCTGTTGTAGCTGAGGCACAGTAATGACTTGTGTCTGCGGCTGCTGGATCTGGAGCTGAGGACGGGACGGGGAGGTTACAGTAACTTGATTCAAAGTTTGTGTTGTTGGGAGAGTTTGTATGGAAGATTGGAGCTGGGGCTGCGATGGCTGTTGTACTTGGGACTGAATCTGAATCGACGTATGTGGCTGAATTTGAACTGGTTGTGAAGCTGTTGTCTGCACCAAGGCTTGACACACAGTGGGTCCGTTGGATGAAGCTGGTGGAAGCACTCGAGCCTGCGGTGGGCTCTGGACTCGAACCGGAGACTGTCCTTGGACCTGGCTTTGAGACTGACATTGTATTGTGACTGCAGTCTTGTCTGAATGTGTTGGGACGGGCTGTGCTTCAGAAGTGACGGGGGACAAAGCCGATGCTTGGGTTTGGACTTGAGCGTGAGTCTGGGCCTCGGGCTGGGCTTGTGGCTGGGGCTGAGCTTGGCTCGGGGACTGGGGCTGGGGCTGAGCTGGAGGCTGAACAGTAGGAGGTGGGGCTTGTGGCTGACTCTGACCTGATTGCTGAGCTGATGGCAGGGTTTGGATGGGCTGAGCCTGAGTCTGTGTGGTTTGTTTCTGCTCACTTGTAGCTGTGAAAAATAAACCAAGCATTCTCATTATTCTAGACCATAAACCGACAGACATTAACTTTAAAAAGATATTTCCAAGGTAGAGAACTCTCTCTTTTGGTTTCTAACAGCTATCTTAGAAACTTTTTTTTTTTTTACTTAGCTTGATAACGTGCAAGTAGAAATTTTAAACATTTTGGATAAGCCTAAATCCTACCTGACGTTGAGGTGGAAACTGTTGTTGTAGTGCTGGCCGCTGCAGCTGTCGTAGGTAAAGGGGTGAAAAGAAATCGCTGAATGGTACCATTTGGCATTGCAGCTTGCATTAATTGTTGGCCTGGCCCTGGAATCACTGTTACCCCTTGAGGAATCAGCTGCAGTTGTCCAGTAGTTTGCCCCTGTCCTTGAATTACAACAGTCAAACCCTGACTGCCACCCTATGGAAAAAAAAGCCACCATATAAATGCACATTGCTCAAAGAACAGGCTTACATACACATTGCTCACTTAGATTAACGATATTTTTGGTTAGCAGAAATACAAATTGAGGGTACAGGGGTAGTTGCTGTGGGTACTGGTTAGGAACTTTAAGAGGAAAGCAGGATGAACACAAAATGCTTAAAACTACCCCTCACACCTCTACATATATTTAAAAAAAGTGTTCATACTGGAAGAGCTCAAACTAAGATATGTTATCATATGGTTCAGATTATAGACACAGAATTCAAAAACCCAAATCCACAAAGAAGGTAAATGTACTATCTCCAGGAAGTATTTAATAATGACTATATATCAAGGAGCATGGACTAAATAACTTCATATCATAACCATCTATTTATCCTAAAATTTAGTAATTCTACAACTGCACCTCATTTTACATAGCAGAAAAATTGAAAAAGAAGCAAAAAGGGCTACACACAATATAGATAATTAAATCTATAGATCTTACTTGTAGGAGAGCCAACCAAGCTCTCATTCGGAATCAATTTAGAGGAATTTCACATACAGTTTTTATTAAATTTTCTTAGGTTTTCAAGACCATGATAAATTATAACCTACAAAAGCATCGTGAAAAGTAGATATTCTGATAGCAACAGAAAGTGGCAGCTGACAACAAGAGAAGCAAAAAAACTACAAAAAGTAGACATAAGAAACTAAAAATCACAGAAGCTTTGGGGACATTTAATGTAGGGACAAACAGCCCAGCCCTATGCACCTCACTAGCACATCACTATTTCAGCAGAGCACAACACTAATAATGACCCAGTATCACTAAGAAAGTGTTCATGTTTAAGCAGATGGCAAAGTGTGCAATGCATTTCAGAAAATTTTATCCCAGAGACATCATGAGACATTACTGCTTCAACTCAACCATCTTCTGTCACAGTATATGGCTACTACTACCAAAACTTCTACCCTGGGGCTTTATCTTCTTTACTGAAGAGAGCTTACTTTATCCACCCAGCCTTGGGGAGTAGAGAGCCAATATTCTTCCCTTTGAGAAGTCCTGGACAAGCCATCACTCCTTTCTAGGTGTTGTTTTCCCCTCCATAAGAATGTAAAATCATTGAAGGCAGGGACCAACTCTCTTTTGTTTTATCATACCTAGCAGCACTTAGCATTGTTAATAAATATCTCTTCAATCATTATATAAAGTGATGAAAGATCACTAAAATTTAGCTAAAATGTATACATTTTGGAATGTTTAGAACACATGCAGAAAAGTCTATTCTGATGACAAAATTTTGGTGTACCTTTCAAATTAATTATCTGAAGAAACAAACAACTCTATTATTTCTATTCTAGAACTAAAAGAATCAAGAAGTTGTGGGGGGAGGGAATGACTTTTTTGAGGGATGTTCCACAAACATTTATTTAGCTTCTACATACAAAATTCCTTGGTCTTAAGGGATATACTGTTGCTGTTATCTTCATCAGCATTTTAACTGTTATACTGTGTTATGCTACTACTGCTGCTGCAGTTACTACTACTATTACTACTACTACTACTACTACTACTACTACTACTACTACTACTACTACTATAACATGTAGTGCAATTCTGTCTATACCACTCTGAGGTCCACAAAGTCCACACACACCTCTCCCCCTCAGACCTGTGTGGCAGACAAGGCAAACCCTATTTATTTTTTGCTACTCTACAAATGAGTAGAGAAGGGTGTGGTGGTGCAATAAGCACACAACCTGAAGCCAAGAGCCACTGGGCCCTAATGGTATTCTCTAGAGCAGTAACATACAAGGTTACATTTAAAGATTTCAAAAAGTAGTTGACATTATTTACCTGGCCTTGTGTTAACTGGGTGAGCTGAGCCATTGTAAGTTTCACTTGTCCTTGCTGTGGCCGAGGAGGCTGTGGGGTGGAGGATGGAGGCTGTATATGTGGTACAGGTGCTCCTGATGTTACTACCTTTTGTCCAGAGCTTGAAGATGCTGCACTAGGACTAGACACTGCAGTGGAAACAGGCTGCCCCCTGATGATCTGAGTTACTACCTGTTGAGTCTGACCTGTAAAAACAACACAACATTAAGGTTGCTAGAAATACACTCTGAGCATTTTGTTGTTGTTGTTGAGAGACAGTACGACAAAGATTATTATATAGTCATTTCAATCTTCAAGTAAGACTAATATATATTATTCACTACGTAATGCAAATAGTGACTCAACTGGATTCCACCATGCCAACTTCCCACTTAACTACCTAATCTATTTATAGTCTCTCTCCCCAGCAATTACTGTGTCCAACCAGTGTCTAAATATCTAGGAGTGAGGAGACGTTCTCCATGGGTACTATTAAGCCAATCTGGACACATTTTCCATCTAACTTTCTTATGGTATCCGAGGCTCCCAATTCTTATTTTTCTTAAAAAACAAACAAAACAACAAAAAAACCCAAACCTTTTTACTGACCTTGTTTGTTTTATATTCTACCTTCACATTCCTCCTTTCCCAGTTAACCATCCTTTCTAACAAAGAGTAAGACAAAAAAGCAGTTCCACAAAACTAATCAATATATCAAATGTACCTGAAATTCCATCTGCCATTAGGTCATCCACTTAGGCCCTTTTGCCATGTACCCTGCCATTAACACTGCCGTGATGCTTCAGAACCAGCAATGGTACTGGGGAGTGGACCTCCAGAATTCCTACTCTATGGTTCAAATCTCTCCAGTGGGTGTAAACTTGCATGACTTCAGACCAGAGTAGATTATGCTTCCTCTCCCATTCAGATGTCCAGTCATTTCCCCTACCTCTCTTTCTACCATTTACTCTGGAAACAGTCATCAACCAGTAACAACACTTTTGGAAAGTGAGCATGAGCTAACTGATAGATCAGATCACCATCTGTAACACTCCAGACCAAGACTCTATATACACTGTCTTCTCACATAAGAATGCCTCTGCTTCTCAAGGGCAGATCGCCTCACTTTTTGTATTAATCTTTTCAGTGGCTGACACCCAGGCAGTGCTTAAACGCTTTCATATATGATGTTCCTCTAACATTCCACATCCACAAACCCAAATTTCTGTGAAGGGGGCTGACTTTCCCAACTTTTTTCTGAAGCGGTTGTTCATTATTAAGGCACACAGTTTCTATTTTTTTGTTCTTTTCTTTTACATTGTTACAGTAATTGTGTACATGGTTTTACTGGTTCTGCTCATGAGTCTTCCTGTGCTTCTCTGAATCCTTCATATATTATTTCTTGTGGTGCAGCTACTTTGCTGCATTCATGTGCCACAATTTGTTTCCTATTCCTCAATCAATGGGCAATTAATTTATTTCTAGTTCTTCACTATCACAAAAAGGGACACTATCAATATGTGGGTGTATATGGGACTTTCATTTCTATCACTGACCTTCTTGGGATTTAGGCTTAATAATGAGATCTCTAGATAAAAGTATTGGGCCATTTTAACAACTCTTCTTTTAAAGCAAAATTTCAAATTGCTTTCTAGACTGGATGGACCAATTCACAAGTATACCAATAGTAATACCAGTGTGCCTGTCTTTCCACAGCCTTTCCAACTTTAATTATTTTCATCTTTGGTCTTTTCTGTCACATCCCCATTTCTATCTCTATATCCACTTCTAGAATAGAAGCAAGAGATCAAATAGAAGCATGCCATTCAAAAAGTCTGGATTTAAAACACTTCATCTGTACTTTGTTGCTATTATTTAGTCATTTTCAATTATATCTGACTCTTGTTGACCCCATTTGGAGTTTTCTTGGCAAAGATACTGGAGTGGTTTGCCATTTCCTTCTCCAGCTCATTTTATAGATAAGGAAACTGAAGTGAACAGGGTTAAGTAACTTGCCCAGGGTCACATAACTAGTGTCTGAGGCCAAATTTGAACTCAGTTCTTCCTGAGTCTAGGTCTGCCATTCTGTCCACTGTGCCACCTAGCTGCCTGTTCAGTTGTATTTAATACAGAACAAATCTGTGACTTCAAACCACAAGCATTTATTAACTACCCAGAGTGTGCCAGTGCATCAGGGATACAAAGGCTAAAGTGAAAGTGACCTCAAGGAACTTACATTCTCCTGGCGGAGACAATACCTATATAAATAAGTATATACTACACACACACACTCTCTCTCTCTCATACACACGGTAATTTTTTTGGAGGGGCAAGGACACTAGCTACTTGTAAGAATCTGGAAAAGTTTCACACAGCAAGTTCTTAATAAATGATTATTGATTGATTGATGTTAGAAAATGGTGCTTGATTAGAGTTTTGAAGGGAATAACTTGAGATGAAGTGGGGAACTCATTTCAGGCATAGGGCAGAATCAGGTGAAGGCATGAACATGGGAGATGGAAGGTCCTATGTGGAAAATGGCAAGAAGGTCAGTTTGGCTAGACTACTGAATACAAGAGAGGGAATAATATTTAAGTCTGAAAAAGTAAGTTGTGGCCACATTATGAAAGGTTTTAAAAACTGAAAAGAGAAACTTATCTTAGTGTCACTGGAATTTACTGAATAACATGGTCAGACTTACATACTTTAGGAAAAGCATTTTGGCAACAGAATAGTAATGGGAGATATCATATGGGTACTTCCTTCAATGGTAAAGACTACAAAGTCTTCTAATAACAACTATAATTAACATTCATAATCTTTGTAGTTTGTAAAGTGATTATCTCAAGTCAACCCAGTAAATAGTACATTGGAAGCTAAAACTTTTTAAGGTTAACTGACTTACTTATGATGACAGAGCTACTAAGTAGTTTGTTTTTATTTATGAATTTGACAAAAATCAACATTTTCCTAAAGCATTCTACTTCCTCCTCCCCAAGAAAAACAACTCAGAAGAGAAATGCCTATGAAATCATGACCCTTCTCCAAATATACAAGTTGGTTTTATTCATTGCGTAGATTTCAAATTTAACACATAGTATTTCCAAGACTGCTACGCTTACCTTTGTTCCCTTCTGAACTTCCTTGTGCTAGCTTATTTTTTCTAACGATGCACTGGTGGTCTTTTCCTTTTTGGGATCATCGATACTAACCTAACAACCCTGACTCCTACCATTGATGAAAAAAAAAGCCCTCTCTTGTCAAATAAGTAGCCACCATGCAAAACAAATTCACACATTGGCCTTGTACCGTTCTGCATCTATCAGTCCATTATCTCTTGGCTGAGAGATGAGAAGTCAAGACTGATCATCAGTTTTTCATGTTTCTTTCCCTTTACAATGTTGTACCCATTATATAAATTGTTCTCCTGGCTTTGTTCAATTCACTCTTCATCTGTTCAGACAAATACTCCTAGGCTTCTCTATATCTGTCCTCTTTGTCATTTCTTATGGAGCAAGAATATTCAATTATATTCATACACTATAATTTGTCCACCCATTCCCCAAAAGATAGGCACTCACTTGGTTTCTAATTCTTTGCTAAAACAAAAATGCTGTAATATTTTTGTACATATAAATACTTTTCCTTTCTTTGATATCTTTATGTTTAGTAATGATATTGGCAGGTCAAGTGGTATAAACAGTTTAATGATTTGAGTACTGCTTTTCAGAATGGCTGAATTAATTCAAAGTTCTACCAACAGTGCATTAGTGTGCCTGTTCTTTCACATGTCCCCTACACTTGTCACTTTTCTTTTTTATCACCTTTGCCAATCAGACAGATGTGAGGCAGACACTCAGATTTGTTTGAATTTGCATTGTGTTTACTATTAGTAATATGGAACATTTTTTCATGATTACTGAAAGCTTGCCCTTCATCTTTGGAGAATTACCAGTTCATATTCTCTCATCTTTTTATCTACAGGGGACTAACACTCTGGTTCTTTCTTATTAGTATCAATTTCTTCCATATCTTGGGTATAAGACCTTTTTTAGGGAAAGTTAACCAAAAATTCTTTAATTAACTCCTCTCCTTTTTAAAATTTATTTTATTTTTAATCTATGGAATAAAATAAGCACTTTCATAACATAGTATAATAAAAAAAAGATTGCACATAACACTTCAAATTTATCATATACAACTTGCTATTCCTTTTAAATATATAACTTTGTTATATAAATTTCTTTTATTTTCTTTTTTTTCCCCCTCCCCATCCCTCCTCCCAGCCTGGCCCTACAGATTACTACCACTAGTCACAAATATATATCTATCTATATCTATATCTATCTATAGATAGATAGATATAGATATAGATATATGCATACATATATAAACAAAGTTATTCTATACCTACTTCTATTTATCAGTTCTTTCTCTGGCTACAGATAGCATCTTTCTTCATATGTCTTTTAATGACTCAGTCACTCAAAGTCATTCTTAAAACAATATTGCTCTAACTGTATGCAATGTTCTCTTGGCTCTGCTCACTTTGCTCTTCAAGGCCTGATTTCATCTCTGCAACATCTCTCAAATATTCCCCCTTCTCTCCTCTGACACCGTCACCATTCTAGTGCAGACCTTCATTACCACATCTTGATTACCAAATAGCCTGTTGGTAGGTCTGCCTACCGCAAGTCTCTCCCCCTTCCAATTCATCTTCCACTAAAGTGATTTTCTTAAAGTGCAGGTCTGATCATGTTTACTTGGCCCCTCCCCCGCAATAAACTCCAGTGGCTGCTCTGTTTGGCATTCAAAGCCCTTCATAACCTACATTTCCAGTCTTCTTACACCTAACTCCCTAATACACAGTGTTTGATGCAGTGACACTTGTCTCTTGGCTGTTCCACAAACAAGACACTCCATCTCCTGGCACTAGGTATTTTCACTGGCTGTCTCCCATGACCTCTCCTTCCACTTTAAGAACTCCTAGGCTTCCTTTAAATCCCAAGTAAAAATCCTATCTTCTACAGGAAGCCTTCTCTCAACCCTTTTAATTTCAGTGGCCTCCCTCAGCTAATTATTGCCTTGTATAAAAATCCTGCATAAAATCCCTAGCCTTGTACAGCATTTGTTTGCATCTTGTCTCCCCCATTAAATTGTAAGCTTCTTGCTGGCAAGGACTGTCTTTTGTCTCTCTGTGTATTCC